AATGTATAATGCACATGCCACAATTTTTGAGAATTAAATACAATAATTGATGTTTTTGCTCACAAAAAACATTAGGATGTAAACAAATGAAAAGTGAGCTAACGAAGCGAAGGTAGATAGATACAAACATCTTATTTACGTATATACGTTTCATATAAGTATGGACATATATCATGAGTACAATACATTCACTGACTTAGGAAATTCTAATAACTATACACGAAACATAGCAGCCAAGTCAAAAATCACGAAATATTTTATATACATTGAGAATATTGTCTGTTTTAAAAGTGTCATTTTAACAAAATCCGCAATGTATACAAAACAACATATAAACTTGGCGTAGTAACAGCAACATAAACAGTGCGCTTGCTAAGATCTAATATGTTACCGCGTCTAAGTTGGCGGCTGCAGATTTGCTCAATCGCCTCGGGTCGAGATAGCGTGTTATCTTTGCCTTTCGGTGCTAGCAAACAACAACAAGAAAGTTTTAAAACAAAAATAAAAATAAAACCATTGTGTACTAAGTACTGAACATAATATCGAGATAACTTCCTGAAATGGTAACGAATCAACTCAACAAAGTTATAACACGATTGGAAATTAAGGAATAAGTTTTTTTCCTTTGATATAAATTTCGGACGTAGTTCGTATATCGTAATTTATAAAAAAAAAAACAAATTGATGAAAACAAAGAATACCTATAATTCCAAAAAATTCACCACAAGCGCAATTTATTCCATTTTTATGACATTAATTTTAAGGCAACAAGTTGCAAAAACTGCTATAAATAAAACTGTGTAGTGCACACTTATTTTGAAATTGCAATGGCGTGCAATATAAATACAATATTATTTACCCGATACAAAATATTGAGGGGGGATACTTTATTTTTTCCAAAATGTCTACGTCTAAACAAGCGAATACGGGTAACGACTTTCAATTTCTACAAACGAAAATTATAGGTTAGTAATTTAATACAGCTAAATATTAATTCCAATTACTAATTTGTTAGCTATTAAAAATAAAATCTGCTTCTCGCTATATCTAGGAATGTAGTAATTAGAACATAATAACAATTCATTTTATTTTACTAATTTAACCGCGAATTCGTACAGCGGAGCCAAATGTTGGTCTTAATTAGACCCTATCTTATTATTTACCCTTCGTCTAAAAACATTTTTTTAAGGATCACGTCATTTGGTAGTAAAATGATTGTAAAATTACTATAATCCCACCCACTATGTACACGAGTATACGTCACAAAATTGTAAAATAATTTGGTTTTCTCCCAATTATTTTATTTTTATTATTGTGTACCTAAATAAGTAAAATCTTTAAGTAGATATGTCCATAACAGTAGAATTTATCTCACCTCATAAATATAGCGAAAAAGCAAACCAACGTTCTTTGTGAAAATTTAAAAGTGATTTATATTATTACATAATGAATTTTAATAATAGTAGTTAAATAAGTAGGAAATTGTAATGTGAAGGATTATTCATGGAATTGTAATTATTCTGACGCTTGATATGATTATAATTAGTTAATATTATGATGTAATATAACTTACAGCCAATTGGTAAAAAATAAGAAATTGCTCATTTACAGCTGTTAGCAGCTAAAAAGGCACACTTGAATTTAAAATTTAGAATACTAACCTCCAAGTTGGCCTGTATTAGTTCGTAAAGTACTTCCGCAAGTTGTTCCCACACGATGTCGAGAGTTCTGGAAAAGTTTTCGTTGTTCAAGTGTTGGTACAAGGTGTCCAAGTTAGCTTCAAGGTACCGCATGACGCGGTCCATGCTTGAGCAATCCTGGTGGAGTAGTTCAGCTCCCTCGATAAGGAACCGTGTTATTGAAGGCATCATCTGAACACAAGGTTTAAATAGGTATGTAAAAAGTTATTTTGTATAAACCAAACTTTTTAACTATAATTAGAAACGCGTAATCTGCACATCAAGTTTTAAGTTTTCCTTCTCTTTGCAGTGCTGTTGTCCTGCACAGTTTGCTCCCTTAGTCGTCTCTTACGACACCTTCGGGATGAACAGGGGTGGTGACATTCCGTATTCTTAATCCGTCACCACACGGACAGGTAATTATATATTAATGGCAAATTTAAAAATAAACTACAGTTAACATATTAGTATGTTTAATACGTATAAGTACTTGCAACATACCTTTCTGACCATAATATCTAAAAGGTCGACTATTTTGTTTCTAACAGTATCTATGGCATTAGCAATAACATTTTGCAGAGTCTCCTTGCACCTGAAAAGCAAAAGAAAAACAATTGCAATTAATAATTCATCATCTACTTATCTTTATTTCAACTTTATTTACGGTCAGCGCAAGTTTCTTCTACCATTCATTATTTCTCTGCTTACTCCCTTTCTACTAAAATGTTTAGAAAAAAGAAATCTTTTAGATTGTCTTCTTTTCTCGGGCACTTTTTTTTTCTATACATAAAACTCTCTTCATGGGAACCTATCATGCTCTTCAACTATTCATCCCCTGGCGCTACTTTCAGGCTTACTCAAAAATATTTATTATATTTTTATAATCAATACTTATTGATACATAAAGTTATAGAAAAAAATGTGTTACCAATAAGACGTAGGTACAACTGAAGATAAAATTGTTTAAATATGTACGTAAAACTTCACCTCTGAGCTTCCATCGGTGATCTGGCCTCACACATTCTCTGAATAATATCGTCCATGCCGAGATTTTCGACGAATGGCTCCAAGTTCTGTCGAACGTAGTCTATACTGTTGATGGCAACACACCATTCCGTCGTCACTTCGAAGCGTTCCTCAAAGACTGTACTCACAACACCGACATTGTCAACGCGACTAGCCATCTTGTCGGAGTAGAACACGCAGCAACGACAGATATCCTGAAATTATTAACATGGTTTACTGTCAATAAATTTTCTATAATAAGGCTTAATTAGAGGCACCTCTTTTCTTTTTAAATTGTAAATATGAAATCAATTTAATTCAAATTGTTTAGTTCAATTAATCCAATTAGTTTTTGAATTGTCAGGATTTGAGTCAGTCTAGAGAACTCTTAAGAAATAATTACTTTTCATAATAAATACTATATAGTCTAAAACACAACAAAGCCAGAAATCATGGTCAACTTACATCAATTATTTTGGCAACAAATGTATAGCAGCCTTCAACATCCGGCCAGGCTAACTGTCTCCAGAATATGTCGATCTGGTGGAAGATCGCGAGGGTGTCAACACCGGAACTACTGAACTTCACATTGGTGTCCACGGGTACTAAGTTATCAAGGTCCACTGCCTTCTCTATGCGAGTAAGTGCTTTGTATGCAGCAATGTCGAGCCACTGCGCCACACCACCGAAGAACCATGAGTGGAATTTTGATATGGCGTACGATTGCCAGTCGGTTTCGTTAAGACCTTGGCCCAACCTGAAATTTTAGAGATAATATATAAATAATACGGATGGAATTATTTAAAAGAACAATAATTTAAATAATTTACAGAGTTTTGGTATTGCCTGATACGTCAGACCTAGTGAAATACTAGTACCTATTGTATATGTATTACTCATAAAAAATATATTTCACATGTCTTAAAAATTGTTCGAACGTAATCTATATGAGTTGTCTGGGTACTCAAGCTCATATTACTCATTATATATTCAGATTTTCTATAAATATTATGTTACATTTGTCTTAAAAGATCTCTGCATCGAACTAAGGTCGACTGGTAGAAAATGCCTACGCCATTAAGTTATCCTATGTCACGTTTCTATGTGCATAAAGAATAAATAAATAAATACTCTCACAAGCAAGTTTAATCAATTTTTCTATATGTAATCAGATCTAACGGGATTCATAAAGTTTATTTGTTTCTTTCTTTTTAAAAAGACAATTCCCGCTTTAGGAATATATGCTGTGTCGCGGGGACTTTGCAAACATACATGAAACGGACACAAAGAACACCCAGACGCATAACAACAATTTGTGTATCACACAAAGTGTCGTCCCATGTAGAGTTTGAACCCACAACACTCGGCGTAGTAGGAAGCGACGTTGCGACCGCTTAAACCACTACGCCATCCGTGCAGTCGATAATTATAATAATCTTGTCATGATGCATTCTGTGCATCGATAAACTGTAACGGCGGTAAAAAAAAATATCTCTCACAAACTTACAATGAACTTAATAAGTGATTCCTAGGTGTAGTAATTAAACGAAATCTTAGTCCTTTTTATAGAAAGCCTCTTAATATTTATAAAGACATCTGATACATATTTACTAAAAAATATAATAACCTAAATTTGCAAGCTTGCAAATTGTTTACCTTATAGGAACTTTTAACAGTCAACCTATTGTACAACTGTAAATCTATCACATAAAACTTGAAAGTAGGTTCTTAAACAAATTACAAATAAATTGAAGTAATTTTCTCCGGTTCATTGAACTCAATTGACGAGTCATAAATTTGAGTAGCTTACACGGCACATTACGTCTATCGTTCGACTAATTTACTCTGTGTGCCACTTTCGACACACATGGAACTAATATTTACCATGACCAATGAAAAAATCGAATTAATGTAGTTTGAAATTCACCTTGTAATAATGTATTCTCGTAGTTAAATTGTAAGCAGCGAATATATGCAGCGTACGTGCTAGTTAATTATTGACGTCATAAAATCAATAAACAGCTGCTGATGAGTATGAAATAATAAACAGCGATAAACAAAGCTTTAGTAGAGTCAAATGCGTATCACGGAAAAACTGAAGACAAATTGAGGACAACTGACCATCGACAATATTTTTATAATCACAATTTGAAAATTAATTAAAACATGGTAATTCATAAAAGTCATCTATGGAGTGAAGGCCTACTTTAAACACGGACTGTCTCAAGTCCGTCTTAGGGAAGTATACATCAACACTATGTAATAGAGCTAAAATACTACTCTAAAATACTCTTCACTATGTTTGAAAATTAATACTTACGTTAGGAATCTTTGTAAAGTAAGATACAGTTCAAACAGCGTAGTTCCCATAGTCAAAGGCTCTGCTTCAACTTCTGTGGCGCCAAGGCCTGTAACTCCATTGAGTCCACCAGCCAAGTGAACCGTTGACGTTGAAGCGTCACTGTATCTCAGCCTCTTCAAGCTCTTACACACTTCCACTATTTCCGCCTCCACTAGTGACGCAATCTTGCTTTCATACAACCCATATAATGCTTTTGAATAGGGGAAACTCATTACTCTGTAATACAAGATTATCGCGGTATCAGCATCATAAACATTTGCAAAATCTTCGAAATTATGCTAAATATAGCTATGGCTGCAATTTAATGTGTGACTGAAAATTATTCAATTATTGCAATACTTACTCAACGAAAACGCGATCATAATATTCTACCGCTCGTTGCAAATCTGACCGTACTAGCTGAATAACTCTAATCAAATGTCGTAGCCTAGTATCCTCTGTGTTTTCCTTACACTCATTGCTGTCCAAGATATGAACGAACCAATCGGAGGCTCCCTGTATCACCGCTTGGTTTAAAACCTCATTAATCGTCAGCTTGCCTTTATCATCTCGCAGCCAACCATAGAGGTTCATTGGAAATAAGTCTAAAGTCTCAGGTATATCCAAAACTGAGAGCTTGTAAAGAATTTTTAGAACTTCTCTTAGAGTTTTCATTACAGTTTTATCACCGGCAGTCTTTTTTCTCAGTTTTCTGATGTGACTATAGCATGTGGGAAGTAGTTTTCTTGCGCCATCCCAGAACAGCTTGACGTCCTCTTCATTTACCAGACCTGTGTAAAAGCATTTAAACTCTGAGTCTAGTTTATAGCCAATTTAAGAAAAAAAATGGTTGAAAATTCCCAAAAATATGTGCCTTATTAGTAATAGTTAGAGCCTATATACGTTGAGTACGTGAATAACTAAGTCAGTCATGATGCATCAAAGGCGTTATTTCTTACAGTAATCTCGAGACCAGGTAAGTAACTATAGTTTATCATTTTGTCACAGTTGCAGTTAAACTAAATCAATAATGATATAGTAAAGCGTGGTATAGTAGGCCAAACCCTCCTTTCTAAGGAGAGGCCTATGTCCAGCAGTGGACTATTAAAGGCTGTTGATGTGATGTGAATAATAATAAGGATCCCACATAACACGAAACTGAAATTTTGCCCATAACAAAACCATCAAATACGTTTGAAATACTTTACTAATGTACAAGACTGGAAAGTTAGTTACCAGATTGTAACGGTTTAGTAATCTTGTCCAGCAGAGAGTTGAAGAGTGCGAAGCTGAGTGGATGGTCAGTGGTAACAGCACAGTAAACCGCCCACTGCACTAAATTATTGTCCGCTAAGCTGAGCCCGCTTTGCGCCGCGTGCTGCGTTAAGATCGCTTCAGCCGGTGCACTGAAGTTACCACACCACCAGTACGGCGCAACCTGGATTTAGAAGATTTACGTATATAGACAAAATATTTAGTTAAGTTGAAAGAGCCCTTTTTGAAAATAAAGTATTTTGGAATCGCACTGTAAATTATGTACGAATACTATAGGCAATTTATTTAGTCGTAGAATACTGATAACGTTACCGATATTCATGACAGTTCAAGCAAACAGCAAATAAATACGAGCACTCATTATAACTTCTTATAAAAGATTTAAAAAACTTGAAAAGCAGAAAAAACAGTTGAGGTGTAGTCTACATTAATCTAACTGACTTGAAGATGTTATTTAAAAAAAATAGTTATCATATTTCATTGCTAGCAGTGATCTCATAAGTAACCAGGTGTGTGTTGCGGAAGCCAAGGTCAACTTAAAGGCGGAATAAATATATAAAACTTATGGTCTTTGCAGTATCAGGTGGCTATGAAGCTCCTAGTGATGGTTAGTAAAAATGCTTCATCCAAATCGAAATAGTTATCTTTAGAAGTTGAAATAGGAAAGTTGACCTTCGATGTTTATTTACTTCGTAAGCTACGCCTACCTATATTTGAAACTGTTAAACACGCCTACCTATATTTGAAACTGTTAAACATTTGAAGATGGTTTAACGATTGGAAATGTTTAAAACTTTTAAACTGCGGTTACTGTGACGCAGATCAATCAGACACTTATCTAACCCAAACATTCCATCTATTCGTATTTAGAGCATGCAAAATCTGACGCAAGATTCAGTTCCATCAAATTCAATCAAGTATGATGACAAAGAATTAGTCATTACTATTTTTTGAAGTTTGCACATAACTTTGGTAACAAAAATAATTAGTTCGAAAAATAAATCATTAACAATCATTAACTAGAATCAATACATGTATATTGAATTTAGCCCACGTGAAACTATCTAAATTTTAACGACATTTTTGATTTAGCTCGTTAGGTTAAATTGAACATAGGCACTAAGACAAAGAATTTACTCTTAAGTATGAGTACTTATATTTATTATTGCCATTTTAATTATTATGATTAAGAAACAGGTACTCTTCGTTGTATATAAACCTATACAAGTAGTTTGTTGATCATTTGTATGCATAGCATACAAATAAAGTACCTAGTAAGTAGCTTTATCAATAACTGATATATGTTTGTGTATCTATTAAACAAACCTTAGAGTTCTCCAGCTCGTGCAGTAGAATGATTCGGAGGAGATGTCGATGTTCTTGGGCAGCAACCTGTGCGTTTTTCTCTGAGGAAAAGTTTAGGCGTACCTTCACTACACCCTGTCTTTTTAATTTGCTTTTTTTGCTAAGACTGAACCACATTGTCATACCGCCCGCGGGAATCGACTATAACAAAACAAATAAATATTTTTGTCTTTAATTGCGTTGCACTGAAATTAAAATTTATATGTAGATGTACTTTTTATTGTACAATACGATAATAATAATTTAATTATGCCTAAAAACTTAATAACAAAGATTATGAAAAATTTCTTTCCGACAAAAATTGAAGGGCTAGAGAAGAGAAGGAAAATTTGCTATAAAAGGAGCCTTTATAAAATTCAATGTAGCTGCTCTTTTTTTTGGTCATGTAAATCTTTAGGTTCTTGGGTAGGCCGTGGAAACACTCAAAACCACCAGACAGATACTAAAATATGAATTAACATTACAAGCCTACACTATACTCACATTTACATACTTACACAAAAAAATAAAATAAAAAAATACTATACAATTCAAATTCAACGAAAAATAAACAAATTAAAACAATTAAAATACGAAATACAAAAAAAAAATTAAATGTCCATCACTTTCAAACTTAACAACAAAGATGTCTACGGAAATGTGGGAATGAGCATCAATCCCAAGCAAATTTGTCGTCTAAATAATCTTTAATAGTGTAAGTAAGCCTTTTCACAGTTTTACTGTGAGAAAAGGCTTACTATTAAGGCTAAGAAAAGGCTTTACTAAAGACTTAAATTTGTTAATACTTAATTCATGGAATTTGCTTGGCACTTTATTGTATAATCGCACACCCTGACAACGAAAAGACTTGCTTACTTTTTGTAGTCTACTCTGTGAATAAATGATTATTTTTCTTTACATACACAAAATTTTCATATATGTATTGAGATGCGACTGTCATGATACCAATTTCTTTAAACTTATCCCTCAGTGACTGCCTATAACTGAGATTATAAATTGCATGAATAGCTCTCTTTTGCAACACAAAGATACTTTGAATGTCAGCAGCCTTTTCCCACAACAAAATACCGTATGACATTACACTATGATAATACAACCAGTGTAGCTGTTTCTACATCGGTTAATTGACGAATTTTATAAACCGCGTATGCTGCAGAGTTGAGTCTATTCGACAATCCGTCAATGTGTGGACCCCATTGCAATTTAGAGTCTAGTATTATACCCAAAAACTTGGTGGTGTCCACAAGATCCAACTCCTTTCCATTTATTAGAACATTGGTCTTTACCTGCGTAATATTAGGTGTAAAAAATCTAATACATTTCGTTTAAAAGTTTTAAGTTTTATTCTCGTTTAAAAGTAAATTATTAACCTTAAACCAGTTCACAACCTTAGAGAGAGTGCTATTGACGTCATCAGTTACTGATTGCTGTCGTTTAAGTTTAAATAAAAGTGAAGTGTCATCCGCAAATAGTAGTAGTAGAAAAGTTCCTGTTCAGCAATGCCTGCCAGCAATATACGGCTGCGTGATAACGCCAATGATTAATTTTGTATCGATTACTATCGTAATTCCTGAGTAGCTCTCGATTACAAGTATGACCGAAAAAATACAGGTATACTCAAAGTAAGAGACATTCATCGTTAGTATATATGGGTGCTGTACGTGAACAAGATGTATTTTAATTTTATTGACATATATTCGACTTTTACCTTTAGCGGTATATTGGAAGTGCCGATTAGTTCATTATCATGTTTTCCAGTTGAAGCGGTAATGGCAATCTCTTTCATTAGTTTCCGAAGACCTTTCACGCCTTTTACTTCAAATATTTTTGTCATTTTCTCTTTGACTGTCTCTGCAGGATCAAAATCCCTGTAAAGAAAAGTCTTATATCCTATCTATTCCATTTTTATAAATTAAAGGAATATTATGAAAAACATGTAACTAAAAATAGTTAGAGATACTTTTAAAATTAGGTTTAGTCAAAACTAAAAACTATAAACAAACTCGGGGCATATTTTAAGTCAAGTAACTTGGTCACGCAATTAAAACTTCATTCAACTTCATTATAGAATAAAAATATCAATCTAAAGGCGTCTAATTCAAACTTACCACACTTCCAAACAGAGCGAATCCTCGTGAACACTACCAGGCATCGGTCTGAAAATAAACGAATATTAGAGGACAAAAAGAGTGAGTAAATTATTTTTCACTTACTTCATCTATACATTTTTTTACTATCGTTTTATTCATACGCTATGCTGTAAAAACTCGTACTAGACACACTGAGCTTTGATTTATCCATCCTAAAATTACTACGCGGTATTCAGACAAGTTTTACATCATTTAGCATAAATTGACTAGGTATAGGCATAGTTAGCTATAATAGTATATCATGAATACTTGAAATAAAAATCAGCATCTGTTTTGTGGATTCTCCGCCAAAAACAGATCTTATTACGATCATTATCGCTAATAGAGCCGTAAAAGTTTTATAGCTTTGCTATATTTTGTAATGGCTTTCTACTCTTCTCTTAGTACGTTAGACTTCCGTTAATAAAACAAATTGGTCAAGTGCATGTGAGCCAGGAGCACCGGTTGTGTCCCCAGTGAAAAATGTGATTTGATATGTATGTCATGTGTTACCAGGACGCTTGCAGTGGCAATCCCACTGCAAGCGAGACACAATAGTGGCTACTCCTATCGTAAAAAGGCGTTATACTTCCCTATGTTTGTAAGTGTCCTCACTTACAAACATAGGTAAGAGAACAACAAAGAAAATAAAAAAAAAACTTTTAATCCTTTGGTTTTGGCTCAGACGCAATTAACATGGTATACATTATAACGGAAAGAACGGATATAACGTCATCATCAGCAAGAGGTTTACCTTGGGAGTTGAGGTCTCCTGGCCTCTTTCAAATTTAAAGAGAGATGTTTTAGAAAAAAATATACAAAACTTGATTGCACAAAATTAGCTGACACTGAGCTAATATTTACTCGTAACTGCAGCTTTACTTCGCACATGACCTCACCGGCGATCAACGCATTCCTTTTGTTTTGTCTGTCTTAGTATAATTATAATGTTTCTGAGAAAATGGTAACCACCGTTTAAGTATGTTGACAGTGATCTGATCAGCTTTATCTTGTAGATACTAGGTGATTAATATTCATATTTTGTAATACATTTTTTTTAATGTCTGATTGAATTGTAGTCGAACAATTCTTTAACGTTACCGATGACCGCAGTTTAAAAGCACTATTAATATCTTGAACCAAGCTGAACCCTATCATCTTTTCCGAGCAAGCGAGATTTCTAATAGTAAGTGACACATCTAGTGTTGTGTAAATTTATAAGTACAGTAATCGATAACTTCATAAACTAGTTGTTTTAAAAACTTACAATGAAAAGTGTTCTTCCCAAACTGGATTAAGGGTACTAGATTTCACTGATGTGTTGTATCTATGTGTGGGATTAGACATTAGATATATCGTGACGAAGGGATCACTCAGTCCGTTAGGGTCCTTAGGAACGATGTCTTTAGCTTCAACCACCTCGACGTTCAACATCAACTCAGGCGGTTCTTTAGCCTCAGCTTGTGTTAGTAAATGTGTGTGCTTGTCATTAGCAATCTTGAATGCTTCTTGCACATAGGACAGCATTGCGTGCTGTCCCACTTCGCAACCTACGTCACATCCCCCGACATTGTGTAAAATTTCATAAAGTACTTCCAAATAAAGTTCGTCCACCTGCAAAAAAAATATTTTTAAGAATACTTGAATGCTCACTTTTTAGAAATTTTAATACAGACACATATTGGTCATACTTCCCTACATCTAGAGCTATGTTAAATACATCCATATTATAATGTTATATATATTCACGTCGTTACTGTATATTATAAAAAGTTTGATGTGAGAACCATACATTTTGAATTCAAACGTACTCGTATTATATTGTATCATATACTCGTAGATCAATTATACCTACACTAAAAGTTAAAAATACTTACTTAAAATATATATGTAACATCACTAGGTACCACATTTTTTTTCTGTGCGGACTCGAACCGACTAAAACCGCACGCCGTCTCAAGTACCACTAGTCGGGGAACCAGGTGTACCCTAGAAAGGAAATCCCTGGTGCCCCGACGTACCTCGGGCCATCTACGGCGGGTAGACGTCACCCCCTATGTGGGAACCCCAATGTTCCCTCTGTGCTCCTGGAGGGGCGCACGCGCTTCGCAACGCGCTCGCCGCCACCCCGGCCTGCTTCTGCTAGGCTGACAGATGGCCTCACCTGTCACTCCCAGACCTGCGCTTCTGGAGGACGGAGGTCGTTATCCAAGTCGTCTGCGGTACCTAGCCCGTTCCCGAGCCTGTCGGGCCGGGAGAGTTCTAAAGTGGAGTTTATCCTCCATAACGGGTCTTACCGCCGCGAACAAGGAAGAACAAGGCCTCGGATTTCCGGCGGCTGGGTTTCGAGGTGGCTCTGCACAAATTGCAGAGCCACCTCGAAACCCAGCCGCCGGATTCGCTCAACGACTTTGGCAACCCCGGCCGTGGCCCTCAGGGTTGCCTCACGGTGCGTCTTGCCGCACTCCGTCACGAGCGGCGACACGTGACGGTGACACCATACAAGAGGGCACCACGAAGCACCCAGTCGTAGCCGATGTTCCACAAGAGTGGAACCAACACCGACCCCTGCGGAACACCGCACGACATTTCACGTCTACCGAGACCGGTCCTACTTGGGTAGACGACGGCTCTCTCCGACAGATATGCCCCGACTATGCGGCAGAGGTAGAGAGGCACTTTGTGATACACGAGCGCCTCCCTGATGCAACTCCAAGGCAAAGTGTTGAACGCGTTGGCGATGTCAAAGGACACCCCCAACACCACTTCGCCCCGGGAAACTGCTTCCTCCGCCAGAGCCCTCACGCGCATATTCGCATCTACGGGTGAGCGCCCCTGACGGTAACCGTGCTGGTTGTCCGCCAGATCCAGCCCCACTATGACGAGATGCTTGAAGAGGCGCCTTGCAATCACTTTTTCAAAAGTTTGCACACCTCGTCAAGCAACACTAACTTATTATATTAACTTTATACATTAGCTATAGATTAAATAATAGGTACCTACTTTCTTCATTAAAAGTGAAAGTTTTTCTATTGATCAACTACTTAATTTTTGTTGACTAAATATGTGTTTAACTAAAAAGGTGCTGTAGCACTTATATATTAAAGTTAATTACTATATAGCTATGTTAGCAAGCTAGAGCTAGAAGCCATATTAGACCCCGATTTTGGTCTGCGTAGGACATAAACATAGATTTCTCTAATCTACGAATTTAGCAGTGTAGACCCACTAAAGGTTTATTTTATTTGTTTTGACTCGGCATGGGTTGTGACGATTCCTTTAAGGTACATATTGACTTGACCGTTTTACAGTATCCCACTGGGGTGTAGAGATGTATGAGAAACGGAAGATTATGCTCCATTCATTTTATTATCTTTATATTTATACATACTTGCACATCTAATGATACTTTAGTTTATATAATAACCACAGTATTAACAGGCAGCTTAAAATAACTCAACCTTGAACAACTCGACTCCAATCATTTTCGTGTAAATATTATTTTTATTTATGTAGAAACACAACACCATTGTAGAATTCGATATAAATTGCACTTCACTGCACAATAAATTAACAATAACTGATTATTATTATTATAATCATGATCTATCACTAATACGAGTATCCATTGCCATTCACTTGACATTGTCGACTTGTCAAGTGGTCTACTTAAAGTACAAAGCTTTTATAAAGTAAAGCTTTTATAAAATAATAATTGTAATCAGACCTATTTCTTAGCGTTACATGGATTCACCGTGCGGGTGCCGGGTCCATCGCGTGATAGATGTTGGCAACACATGCGACTTCGACAGCGCCTTTGACTTGCGACCCAGGTATAGGTTCAGGGAGTACTCTTTGCACGCGTCAGCGCTCCCCTCCACTGTCTGCTGTGCTACCCCCTCTACCTAACTATATTTGATACTAGCCTAGCAATGCCGCTTTGGATATTCGTTCAAGAAAGAGCTTACTGAAGCACTTGGCAGTCCAAGGTCTTTAAGCAGGTTATAGAGGGATTTAGCTGGTATACCCCTCGCACTCACTTCCGCGGCATACAACGCAACGACATAACTATTTCTAGTTATTTCGTTGGTTAAGTAAAAGTACTTATTTCTTTTTAAAGCATGGTCTTAGGGATGTTTGTTTCCCACGGCACCGTGAGTTCTACTAGTACTACACGCACAAGTGAAATTCAATAAAGAAATATGTCTGGTCTGGACGCCAATCCTCCGGTATTCTGTAATGATTTTCATACGTGTCCATTAATAATGTTCAGTCACTGGCGGTATTTAAAGGGTGCAGTAAGAGTGCACTATTTAAATTTACAATCTTTTTTTTTCGTGCAAGTGGCAACTCCGAAATTTAACAGCTATCACCTATTTTTATTCCGATTATTAAAACTGGAGCACTTTTCGAAAGAACAACGCATTTTAATTGTGAAAACTCATTACAAAAATGAGGAAAGCTACATTGAAACCGCTCGCAAACTTCCCCAGATTTTCAATCGAGAAAGTGCACCTAATGTGTCAACCATTCGATGAGGGGCCAAAAAATTTGAAGAAACTGGGTCGATTATGGATCTTAAGAATCCTTTGCGTCAACGTACCGGTCTCTTGGAAATATTGCTGATGTAAACAACTTCGAATTTCACGAAGCACTACGCAGCGAATTTTAACAAAAGACCTCCACCTTCATACAAGATTCAGCTAACTCAGGAGCTCAGTTAGCTGAATCTTGTACGCATGGAATGCATCCAGCAGACCATGGAAAGCGCCGGCATTTCGTTCAATGGGTAATGAAGCAACGTGAAGTCGATGCCAAGTTTTCGAAAGTCATCTTCTCCGATGAAGCGCATTTCCATCTGAATGGCTACGTGAATATACAAAATTGACGAATTTGGGGCTCAGAAAATCCTCATGCAATCCGTGAGAAACAAATGCACCCACAACGAGCAACTGTCTGGTGCGGATTTTGTTCAGGCGTCGTGATGAGTCGGGATGAGTGAGTGTGAACGGCATTCGTTACAGGAATATGATAACGGAGTTATTGTGGCCCCAGCTGGACAACATGAAACAATCGACTTATTGCAGCAAGGATTTCCAGAATACATTATCTCACGAAATTCTGATTTCAACTGGCTACCAAGATCGTGCGATTTTTTTTTAGGGAGGGAATGCTAAGGCGGGCCCAGGTATGGACGGGCTCTTGGTTCGGGTCACTCCCTGGCCTGCTGACTGACTAAGACTGCGGTATGTACCAATATCCAGCGGTTAGAGAGGCCACCAGGACAAGTACAGCACGGACTGTATATATACTGTCTGATGACAAACAGATTATTTTTAGGTATAACACTAGATTCTAACCTACAGTGGGGCCCACATCCCACATCCCAATCGAGTATCCCACATATTGATTCAAGAGTTAATTGATGTTGATACAGCACGACTTGTTTACTTAAGAAATAACCATAATGACAGTGACAAGTAAATATATATATGAGCATGTAATATATGTTTATAAAAACAAAGATTGCTTTTTGAAAACAAGTGATGTACATTCTATAAATACCATAAATAGAAATAAACTTGTAGTACCACCTCTAGGCTCCAAAAGATAAACAAATCTTTAAGACTTAAATATTAACAAATTTAAATCCGCAATAAAACGTGGATTCTGTAGGAAAGCCTATTACTCAATTGTGGATTACATAGAAGACAAAAAATGCTTGGGAATTATTAAGGCAGGCTATTTTTAAAGTAAAACTGTGCGAAACGGGACGTGGTAGATCGGCACAGGCATATCATAGATTTTGTAAAAGTTTAATTTTTATTAAATTTACTTGCTTACTTTTTGACAAAATAGAGATTATTTCTATTGTGTATGTTGATTATGTTGACTTTAGAGTCTACATAAAAGACGATTTCAAACTTTTTTTTTATGAATAAAGAGTTTGAGTTTGAATTTGAGTTTCAAACGATTCGAAAATCCCTTAGTCGAGTCTTATCAACACGAGAATTACAACGGTAAGTATTTATTATTATATTATATATTATTGAAGAGAAAAATTAACATATTAAAACATTCAACATACAGGTATCTAGGTGTACAGAGAAATAATTTTTGTAACTTGTGGAGGATTATCGGGCAACCTAAAATCTAAATTTATACGAACGCAATAAACATCTAATATATTCTTCCATAACTTTATATCCATGTTTCAACAGATTTCCTAAGAAACTCATAAGATCAAGATCCAAGAGAAATCATAAGACTAAAGCATACTTAATTATAATGTGCAGTTAGTTAAGTTTGTTATAGCTAGTTACAATTAGTTATAGCATATGTAGAGTATAGTTAGTTATACATACATAATATAGTTATTTAATAGCATGATACCGCTCCGCCAACTAGGTATCACATGGTTGTATGTAAGGTGTCTCATGTTATTATAACTATAATTATTGTTACTGTTATTTTCATCACTTAATTGTCCCTATACCTAAAAACTTGAAATGAAATTTAGTTGTGTTAGAGGGCTGAGACTGCGAACTAAAAACCAGTTCAAGTTACAGGTACTGCCCTGTATCCCAGGACTGATCTGTTCGAACTATCTTCCT